ACTGTCTGAAAAGCTCACTGCTATTTGCTTGGAGATATTCTTAGTATTAATAGAAGAGGTAATAAGTTAGCAGATTTATGTGCTAACTATGCCCTTATTATTTCTTTTATTTGGGATGATATTAGTTCTTACAAGATTCCTCCTTTATTTGTGTCATTATTAAAGGAGGAATCGTCTGTCTTTAGCTTGTAGTTTGCTCTTTATTTTCTTCCTTAATGCAATTTGCTGCATTTTCTTAAAAAAAAAAAAAAGAGATGATTTCCTTCGACACCACCATATCAGTTTTAACTCCAGAAACCTGAGAATCACCATCAGAGAAATGGAGATCAAATTTTACTTCTCTTTGAAAACAAGACAGAATCTGCACTTTATTCGAGACATCCAACATCACCTTCTTACCCTTCCCAATGCAATCCATAGATTTTTTTGGCTGAAGTAATCCACCCTCATTAATCACCAGAGGTAAAGTAGATTTAAACCTTGATTTGGCATCGTGATCAAACACCAAGTTTGCATCACCGAAAGCAGGAGGAGATGAACCATGATTGGAGCGTGGAAGAATACGAATTGCATTTGATGATGAACGGCGACCATCACTGGCGTCGGAGGACGGAGGCCGACGGCCATCCACCGTCATCAGTGGAGAGCGAGTTTTGCGGGAAATCAAAAATTCAAAATGAAGATTTTTTTCTTTCTCTAGAAAATCCGGCACTCTCTCTCTCTACAAGAGTATAAATATTCACTGAAGTATATTTGCACACTTTGATGCATGTTAATTTAGCTTTCATTGCCTAATCTTTTTATGATAGAAATTACTGTATTCAGCAACATTCATTATGTTGTTTTTAGACAGTCTTTATGCATTTATTGAAGATCTAAGAAAGAATTTAAAATAGATACTCCCTACAATGTTAAGCTGAACAAGTAATGTATGGAAGCAAATATATAATGTGAGTAGATTCTTTATAAAATGAATGGATGTAATGGTTAGATTTTATTTAATGTTTATATATAAACTTATGGTTGATATTTGAATTAGTATCCATGATCTGTTTTGTTGAATATAAAGCATATATATCTAATTAATAGGTTGATATTTGATTAAATTGTAATTTGGTAGAAGTAACCCGTTTACTGGTTATGCTGCTGAACTTTCGAGACCCATTGGAGGAGCCATCACAATAGAACAGACAACAAATCTTATCTATTAATATGATGTGCAATCAATGTTATGGTACTTCCAAGTAGTTATAACCAAATTTAGTTATAAAATCTTAGAAAGTAAGTTGTGATGAATAATGCCATCTGAAACATAAAGGTTAAAAATTTTCTAATAAAAACCAAATACCATAAGCATCTTTCATGTGACGTTCTAGCAGAAAAACAAAATAATAAGATATGGTACTTCCAAGTTGTTAAGAATCTGAAGGTTTAAACAACGAAACTTTCTCCTGGATCATGAAAACAAACATCAATCAGCATATTTGCTTTTAAAAGTTTATTTGATTAAAATAATAAAAGCATTTTCAATTAAGAACCATGGTAAGATCAATTATAAGGCAGTCTATACGTACACAGCCTATTTGAGCATACCTTTCCATCGTTGATGAGCTCCTGAAAGGCCCTGAGTTGTTCAGCAAATGGCACACTTGGTCTCCATTTTTCATATTTGTATGCAAATTCACCAAACAATGGAACATATCGATCTGGCCTGAGAAGTACCATAAATTACACCAATAAAAATAAAGAAGAGAATTAAGAAGCGGCAGAGTGCAAAATCAGTAGAATATTTTATTATTGATTTGCCAGTAATGCAAAATTGTTATGCAGCAGCTAACCATATCACTAACCAACACTATTTTGAAGTAGGCTAATGAGGGTTGCTGGTGTGATTAGATCACTAATGTAATCAATTGATGGATGGGAAACACTTCTAAGATTATTGGAAGAGTATGGTGGAGTTAAGGTGAAGACAAAGTTTATGCAGTTTAGATGTCTTGACCACCGACTCATTAACCCACGATCTCACTCCCATTCACAGCACTCACACACACTAAAGACCCCAGCCGAAATTGCTCGACCCCAGAGTCTCTCGTTTTCTAGGTACCTCAAGCACAAACTATAATACCCAAAATATTCAAGTAAAGGCAAGTATAAATTTTCTTTAAATGTTAATTGAAGCATATGTTATTTATGAAATCAATTGTATATGCATAACTAGTATAAGAAATAACAGTTACATATGTCACGGTTCTTTATTTCCACTAGAGCCTCTACATTCCACTAACCAAGCCATGCATTGGCTGGATTAGATCCCACAGCTGGAAATTTTTGGGAAACCTATATTGGGAAAAGCACTAGGGATTATAATATAAAGTAATCTAAAAAAAGGCATTAATGTAGTGGCTAGAATTTCCCTCAGTTATGCAGCATTAGTATTATTCTCCCATTTTCCATCAACTGGCTTAGTGTGCGAAGGAGCTGCAGGCTGTGGAATGCTATGGGAAGAATTCCATAAATTTTTTTTAGCAAATTAAGGTAAGGTAAATTAGGCAAATAATTTAGTTAGTGGCTGAAAACTTTATTTGGCTGAAACCAAGTGCAGTTTGTTGTTTATCTAAGTAAGACTACTTCTTTTAGTTTCTGCAAATTCAAGAAACAATTGTGGAAGTATTGTTTGCTGATGGTAGTTAAAAACAGGTTAAGGCTGAAGTGGTAGAAGAAAACATTAAAGAAGAGAACTTAGAAGGAAAGGAAAAGAATTTTATGGAATGAGAAAGAGTGTAATTGAGATTGTATACAAGAGGAAAGGAAGACAAAGTCTAGGAGAACAAATTCTTAGCGAGGTGAGATACCCAAACAAGGTTATAAGTATTAGTAAATATTCTATAATTGCACTTCATCTTTATTATGTCTATGATCACATGCATTTCAGTTTATTTTAGTTTGTTTTGTATAAACATGGACGAATATGTATAAAATTGTTTATGCATGGAGTAATTTTTATCAATGTTAATGATTTCGTAAACATAAAAGGTTAAATATTCATAAACTAATGAATGAGCAAAAAAGGTAACAAAAGGGCAGGTAAAGGGCAGCAGCGAAAAAGGACAGCTATAGGGCAGCAAAAGGACAGCAAAAGGGTAGCTAAAGGGCAGCAAAAGCGTAGCTAAAGAGCAGCTAAAGCGCAGCTATGGATATGTCATGAGGGCTAAAAATGATTACTATAGTGGAAGTGAATTAAGTTATATATGGGGAATAAGCCCGCACAAATAAAGGCGAAAGACCTGATGAGGTAAGCCTACACTATCAATTCTAGAAGTTTTAGAAAAGCTTTGTTTCATAGAAGATGTGTATTTTATTTGAGGATTATTTGAGGTATATTATATATGCTTCATATTCTGAATAGCTTGATGTTATATGATTGGTTGTGTTAGGAAAATTGAATAGACTATTTTTTTTCTTACTTCAGAATAGGATTAAGTAAGAAGGTTTGTTCCGATTCTCCTTCTCTGTTACACTCTAGTTTAATTGTAGGAGGTTTAAATGGGGTGTGACAGGAACCATCCCAGACGCCCACTCGCCCCTCTCTCGCTCTATCTTTTCCACACGCAGAAACCCCCAGCTTGTCCATCACAACTCACGCGACCTCACCTACATGTATCCTCCCACAACTCCAACCTAGGCGTCACATGAGAGACCCAAGCTCGATCCTTCTCTCCCTCACGACTATCCCAGATGCATGCACATACCCTCCCGCGACTCGAACCCAGCCACCCGACCTCACCAGCATGCAGTCTCCCAACCTCGCTTTCATGCAGCCTCCTGCGATTCCAACTTTAACAGTCAGCCGACCCAGCCTTCCATCCTCTGACCCGCACGCGATCCCATCTCTCAATTCCTCTACACGTGAAACCTAATCTCACACCTTCATTCGATCGATCCTAACTCGATTACTTTCAGACTACAATTTCTAAGTCGTTTCACTGTACTTGCACATCTAGATCACTTCCCCTCATCCAGCCAACCACAAATCTGTCGTCATATGACTACATCCACATTAAAAACCACAAGCCATCATTCTAAACCAAATGATTTACACGACACAAAATCGGAAGATAACAGAGAAAAAGATAACATGTATACATCTTGCTTGTATGCTTAAAATACATGTATAGAATACATCGCGTCCCCTTATCTCTGATCGGGCCAGGAAGAACAAAAAATTTATGAAGAATCTACGTTTCATTGATCTTAAATCTGGTTGGGAAGACTAAAAATTATATGAAGAATCCATGTTTGTTGATCTTCGATCCGTCCAAGAGAAGAAAATGAAGACGCTCTGTACGTCGTATCTTTGATCCGTCCAGGGAAAAAGAATTAAAGAAGACCCAATATTTATCGTATCTTAGATCCAGCCAAGAAGACTGAAAGGCAAATGCCTACACGACACGCCCCAACAAAGGGTAGATGCGAGGAGGATGCCAAAATTTTAAACAATAAAGGACTCCGTACATAATAAATTTTAAACAAATTTTTTACCTTTTCAATCGATTTGAATTATGGAAAAATAATCTAATTCAATTTGGAGTTGGCTCGATATATGATGCATGCAAATCAGGTCTTATATATTGTTTATATAGATAAGCCTCCCAACCTAGAAAAAATTAATATACTAAATGGCAAAGCTAGCGTTAAGTTCTCTAGAGAATTAATAGTTACCTTAATTCATTGCGATTTTGCACTAAAAGAAATAACAAAATTGCTTAGACCATTCGCAAATCATGAATGTGTTGGCTCAAGAAAAACAACACGAATACATGAATCCTGCTTTGCAGCTGTAAGATTTCATTTCTGATGCAAGCAAAAATTTGGGAAGGGCCACAAATGTTTGCGAGCAAAAGCTAAACTTCCTAGGATAAAAGAAATTACATGAAATTCTCAAAAAGACACAAAATACGACAATTGAACCAAAAAACAACTTCACTTTATAATATAAAAGACTTACAAACTTTTGATGCTTACAAACGACAAAATAAAGACACAACGAGTTTCATAAAACTGCTTGCCAAATGTTGAGAAGAAGGATACAGATGAAGTGGATACTTGCGGGAAGAAGAATGAGATTAGAAGCCAAGACAAAGTATAGCTCGCAAGCTATAGAGATGAGAAGAAGGTGAAGGACATAGCTCGCAAGCTATTCCAAAGAAAGAAAAAAAACCTCTCAGGTTTTTATCAAAAAATCACAATATTTTCCAACCCTATTTCAAGACTCAAATCAGCCCCTATATATAGGAAGAAAGGGGGAAACCAAACAGCCATTTACCTTTATTCAAACCAATAAAAAAGAGGGAAATGAAAGGTCAAAAGACACCACAACATCCCACAAAAATCTGCACATAAAACACACCAAAACAGCCCTAAAAAACTGCACAGAAAACAGGAAATAAAGGCTAAGGGATATTCCAAACAACAGCAGAAAAGACATCCCAAAAATCATCCAAATACATCCCATTCCAGCTTACAAGGGGCGGAACAAGCAGAAACCGAGGAGGCCAAGGAAAAGGGGGCGGAACCCCAATAGGTTCTTCACGGGAACAACAACAGCCAGGAGAAAATTAAGAGGAGAAGTCACGGGAACAACAACAGCCAGGAGAAAACCGAGAAAACAAGGGGAAGGAATCAAAGGGCCAAAAGCTAAGGGAAATGCACCAAATAAATCCTCAATTAATTTCAAATTTATGAGCTGAAAGAGTAGAGACTTCGCATTCATGAGCTGAATTTAGAAGGGAATATTAAGGCTCACCAAAAATAAAATCCAACTTGTTTTGCCCCCCCCCCTGCCTACATCAAATTCTCCTCCGATTGAAAATACTCATCTCCCGATAAGCTGCCTTCAAAATTTTGGAGATCAGGCATTTCAGATTCTTGAATTAGAATGTCATACCTTCGTTTAATGGCATCCTTTTCTCGTTCAAATTCGGACAGTAGTTGAAGTTTCTTTTCTTCAAATCTTTTGGCACTTGAGTGTAGCTTCTCTTGAATCTTGATAAGCTTGGTCTGTATCGGATCTGAGGATTTTTCTTGTGGCAAGATCCATTGGCTTTTAGGAATAGATTCTTCAAAATCTTTTGGCTTACTTTGTTGCTTGCTTTCCACTTGATGTTTATCCATATTGACTTAAAATAAAGGAAGACCCAATAAAAACTTAGATTCACTTGACACCACAGACTAACATTGATGAAATCAAGAATTCTGTACCTTTTATTTTGTCA